TTAAATTGGAGTCCCCTGGTATGTTTTTAACATTCAAGCACCACCCCTTATCCTACAGGTGGGGACAGTTTTCTCTACTGAGGTTGCCTGCACTCAAGTCTTGGTACTATCCCTTTGCCTTTTTCTTAAGATTTATTTATCTGAAAGGTAGAGTTACAGAGAGGTAAAGACAGAGAGAGAGGTCTTCCATCCGCAGGTTCACTGCCCAAATGGTCACACTGGTTAGAGCTGAGCCGATCTGAAGCCAGGAGCCAGGAGCTTTTTCCGGGTCTCCCACGTGGGTGCCGGGACCCAAGCACTTGCGCCATCCTCCGTTGCTTTCCCAGGCGAATTAGCAGGGAGCTGGATCAGAAGTGGAGCAGCCAGGACTTGAACCAGCGCCCACATGGGATGCTGGTGCTGCAGGCCAGGCCTTTAACCAGCTGCATCACAGCACTGTGCCCCTCCCTTTGCCTTTTAATAAATCCTGCTGCCCTGCTTGCTTTTAGTTACATCTCCTGGGTGTGTTCCTACACACAGGAAGACAAGAACCTGGACTAAGTCTAGACGGGCTGCCTGATCCTTAGGGCATACTTCAGGGGTCCCGGTGGTCACCATGGTCTCTTCACATCCGGCGCTGTAGGGATAGGAGAATATAGGCAGGGATAGGCGTGCTCCGGGAAGAACCTGGCTTTGTTCTCCCACTCCTCCGATTAAGGCCTCCCACTCTGCAACCCAGTTTTTTTCTTTCCTTATTTCTGTAGTAAAAGAAATCAAGCACCAGGTCGCACTCGCCTGCCCCTACAATGGCAGGTCCACCCCATCATCAGCCCCAAATTTGCAACCTCCTTTTGTTCAAACAACCACAGAAACCCCACTAGCGCCTTTGCCAGGACGTCCTGAGAGTTCAGCTGAATGTTATTTATGTATATTGAGCCTTAGCCACTCGCAGTGATGTCAAAGTTAAACCCAGGGATGGGAGTGTGCTTAGCGGGTAGACACCTATGTCCGACCTCATGGTGCCGGGGTTCAATGCCTGGCTCCAGGCCCTGAGTCCAGCTTCCTGCTGGTGCAGACCCTGGGAGGCAGCCGTGATGGCTCACGCAGCTGTGGGAGACCTAGACTGAGTTCCCCAGCTCCCGGGATCAGCCCTGGCCTGGCCCCAGCTGTTTGAGGACAGCAGATGAGGGCTTCCCCTCTTCTCCCTCTCTCTATCTGCCTCTCGATTTTCTTTTCAGTTGGTAGAAAATGGAATTAGAAGGACATGTGCGTTTCCACAAATGAAACAACACAAGGAACCCAAGCCGTCCAGGGCAGCAGCCATGGCACAGGTACACACTGTGCACTCAAGGTCATGGATGCCCTCAGAACAGTGAGACCGTAAGCTATGAACACATCACTATGCTGATCTGCAAGTTGAAGACGTGAACTCGGTCACCAACAGGGCATGAATGGCAACCCAGCATACCGAAGAATCGCAGGGCCCTACCACCCATCTGTGTGACCTTGGGTGTGACTTACCTGCCCTGTGCCTGCTTCCTCAACTATAAAATGGGTAACACAGTCACCTGGAGGTGGTGCACTGCAAACACATGTGTTTATATTTTACATCCTTGGGCAGCGGCCTTGGATGGCTTTCCTTTGTATACAGGTGAACTTATGGTAATGAAGTTACTAATAATGAGCCGTGTCACCCGTGTACGTGGAAGAACAGTGAAATCTGTGGACTGGGCGTGACTGACTTCATGGCAGGTGCAGACGTTGATGCCCAGTTCCGGAGCGCTGGAATGAGGAAGTCTCTCGCAGGCAGAATGAACTGCGCCTGGCCGTGGCTCTGCTGAGCCTGTTCTTCAAGTTCAACCCTGATACAACGACCCAGCGTGAAGCCACAGGAGCTGGAAGCTGTCTGTGCTTCAGCTATGACGTTCCCCTGCCTGAATAAGCTAACGTCAACTCAACAACTCAATTCGCCCAATGAATTATGGATCTGGAAACAAAAGTGCTAATAGGAAAAAAAAAAAAGCTTATGAAAGCCGCCCCAGTTCAAGGACTTTGTTGGGAGAAGTCTCCCTCCTAGCAGTCACGGACGACTAACTGCTAATGTCTACAGCGCTCCAGTGTGGACTTAGCACTTCATGGTAATGGGTACTGGGGAAGTTCTTACACAGCCAACGTGATCTCAAGGAAATTTTTCCCTGATATAAATTTTTTTTTTTCCCACCAAAGGGTCAGTTCCACAGAGAAACGGCAAAGCCAAACACCAGTCTCTCATTTCAATAAACCCCAGCTTTGGAGGCTGCTGGTTTTAAGCCTCCCAGGAGCAGGGTCCCCCTTGGGTGATGGGGCCATCTAGAGGCTGACTGTGAAAACTACAGGCAGCTACTCCTGTGTGGTCCAAGGACCCACAGCACTGGAATCTCCCAGGAACTTGTTAGAAGTGCAAAACTCTTGGGCCTACTGAATCGTGCAAACCTGCATGTTAACGAGTCTTCCCAAGGGAGAATGGGCACACGACACCTTCACTGAGGCCACACGGGCAGGACCTGGCTATACAAGCCAGCTTCCCAGCCCCGCTGAAGGCAGGCAGAACCATCTGCCGGAAAACAATCCTTGGGCGAAACTCAGAACCAACGAACGCACAAACAGGCCTTGCATGTAAAAGGACGAGCTCTGAGCATGTGACCTGTGCTTCCCAGCGCCTCCCGGCCCCGGGCTCCCTTAACACCTGTGCCATCTCCGCTTCCTCAGGGTGGGGCCTGCCTGCCACTCCCCTGCCGCCCGGGCCATGACTCTGTCCTGCTCCTCGGCGCCACTGTCCTCAAATTACATCGCTCTGGCAATGGTGCCTCTCCGGCAGTCCTCTGCCACCAGGGCCAGGCCACAGGCCCTGAGAGGGGACAGCTACCACCGCCCTGGTGGCACCCACAGTCACAGCACGCCCAGCTGTCTCACATGCCGAGACTCACCCCACTCACGGAAACCCAGGGCGTACACCCACTGCCGTCCAGTGTACAAAGTAAGGCCTGTGAAATCTGTGTCCCAGGGCGAGCCACCCTCCCCGCCAACAACTGCTTTCTTCAAACTCTGACACGAGTCCTTCAGACTCTCCCAAAAAGCCGATGGACGCCGAAATCTCCCCCCCGGAAAAGGACTTATAGATGGTGAGTCAGCGAGGAGTGCACACGGCTCTACCTTCCCACACATATTCAAGTGCACGAGAAAACTGGCACAAATATGCGGCCAACCACGGAAAAATCTTTAGCACTTTGCTGTTTCCGTTTGCTGAGTTTCCATTTTAAAAGTTAAACTTGGGACCAGCATTGTGACGTGGAGGGTGAAGCCGCTGCCCGCCGTGCCGGCATCGCATATGGGCACTGGTTCATGTCCTGGCTTCTCCACTCCGATCCAGCCCCCTGCTTATGGCTGGGAAAGCAGTGGGTATCTGCACCCAGTGGGAGACCTGGATGGAGTTCCTGGCCCCGCCCTGGCCAGCGTGGCCCCCTGGGCAATGAACCGGCAGATGGACGCTCTCCCCCTGTCTCTCCTGGTTAGTCTTTCAAATAATAATCTCAAAAAAAAAAAAAAAAAGTTAACATGTGGGTGTTGAGAACTGTGGTAAAGTAACTGAACTTCTCTTCCTGCCTCCACAGTTGTATGCTGCCAAGTGCTCCAGGATTCAAAATTCTTTACCTCTAGGCCTGCGCCGCGGCTCACTAGGCTAATCCTTCGCCTTGCGGCGCCGGCACACCGGGTTCTAGTCCCGGTCGGGGCGCCGGATTCTGTCCCGGTTGCCCCTCTTCCAGGCCAGCTCTCTGCTGTGGCCAGGGAGTGCAGTGGAGGATGGCCCAGGTGCTTGGGCCCTGCACCCCATAGGAGACCAGGAAAAGCACCTGGCTCCTGGCTCCTGCCATCGGATCAGTGTGGTGCGCCGGCCGCGGCGGCCATTGGAGGGTGAACCAACGGCAAAGGAAGACCTTTCTCTCTGTCTCTCTCTCACTCACTGTCCACTCTGCCTGTCAAAAAAAAAAAATAATAATAAAATAAATAAAATAAAAAAAAAAATTCTTTACCTCTAAGCAGCTACAAGGGGCCGGCGTGGTGGCACAGGTTCCACCACCACTTACAACCCGGCTGCTTCCAATGCAGCTCCCTGCTAACGAGCCTGGGCAGCAGCGGATGACGGTCCAAGTACGTCTGTCCCTGCCACTCCTGCGGGAGACCTGGAGGGGGCTCCTGGACCCTTGCTGCAACCTGGCCCAGCCCCAGCTGTCGAGTGAACCAGCAGATGGAAGATTTCTGTTGCTTGGTCTTTCAATCAACCTTGGAGGGTGGGGGAAGCAGCTGCGAGCTTGGAGCGAACCGCTACATAAAGAAAAAGCACCTACGAAGGATGCTGTGGGAGGTTTTGGATGGGAGAGTTCAAGGTCTCCTCCCTCGAATACTGTGACGCAAGCCCTGTGGAAGTGTGTGCAATATGCAGTCTTCTGTCCCTGAGAACACAGGTAGAATGAGGCGTCCCACCCTTCCGATGGCTCTGTTACCATGAGTAAGCCATGCAGGGCGAATACGATGACCAATCAGGTCTTTGGGTGGGTTTTGTCCCCGCCTTGTAACTGAATGTCACGCTGGCAAGTTTTCTTCTTCCCCAAAATTGTGCTTAAACACCCCAGAATCACCAAAAACCTTTGGGTTTTGCCTCTTGGAGCCCCCTCCATGCCACTCTGGCTGGAGGTCTCTAACTTAGATAAATCTGGCTTCTAAACCCTAAAAACAAACCACAGGAAACTAGAATGGGCTTCCCTGAGAAGCAGAGAGAGGGTGGGGTGGAGACGGAGAGGAAGAGATACGCCCGTATTTATTAAAATCTTTATTCATTTTTTTGTCAGAATCGAAACCCATGGAACACATTAGAAATTTAGGTGCATATCTGTCTCGTCTGGGGTCTCACCAAGTACAACCTCTATTTGCGCAGAAGCTCCCAGAGGGAATCCTTGGCGGATCAGAACAGAGGGCAGTGGTTCCTACCCCTCCCCTGTAAGCAAATAAATTAGCTTCCCAGTAAGCGCTCCCCAGTTCCCCGACATTCTGTGCGCGAGGAACACCTCGGTTCTGAAAACCCGGTGGCAGCACAGCGTCCAGCCCCTACTTTCCACCGAGACGTGCGCAGTCGAGGGAGGACGGCTGCCGCCCCGGGAGAAGCAGCTCCTGGCTCGCGGGCCGGGGCTGGCGCGGCGGGCTCGCTGCAGGCGTGTCTGCGGGATGCACCGTGGTTCTGTCCCTCGGGGTCCACGCCCAGGGACTGAGGAGAGAGCCACTTACCAGCGACGTTAAGGTCAGTGTTTCCCTGTGTCAAAATAAATACGTTTTCCTGCAAGAACACATACATGACTATATACACACACACACACACACGCCTTTAGTGCTGCTGCCTGCGGCCCCGGCGGCTGCTTTACCATTAAAACCGAATTCAGGGAGCACACACAGGAGAGGCTGCAGGGGAGGCCAGGGCTTGCCTGCCTTTAAGAACAGAGGGATTTCTTTAGAAAACAGCGCTGCCATCCGGTGACACTGAGCAACTGTTTCGGATGGGATTCAACACAAAGGAACCCACCTTGAACTTCAACTCCCTCTGACATTCACCCCGGCACAAACAGGGAGACACATCACCCAACAACCCTCTGAGCGAGGACGACTCCACTGTCCGGAATCACTGTGCCCCTCCCGGCCCACACTGCAGCCTCAAACCAGCCAACGGCTTTAGAAGGAAACCCTGTAACTAACCTTGCTCGTCCAAACGTCAGCGCTGACCCCTACCCCCCAGCGACCTGCCTGTGATGGCCTTAGATCCTAACGACTGACTCACAGAGGGCAGGGTCACAAAACGTTGCAAAAAGGTGTCTTCCTCTTTTTCCCAAATAGATCTCTGCGTCTGTGAATTTTTAGGGTTATTAGCTTTTTTCCCTCCAAGATTTGCCTACACAGAGTCTTCCAGCTCCAGCCCATTCTGACTGAAGACACACATTTCTGCGTTCAGCATCATGCCGCACCACTCTAACTTGAACCACTTCTAGCAGCATCAGTTAGGAAACTGTAGGGGCGCGAATGATATAAATTTTCTGCAAATGCGCTGAGGAAAAGGGGAGACAGTGTGCGAGGCAGAGCGTTCTCTCCTGCCTTGTTGCCTAGCAGCCTCTGCCGCTTGCAGGGCGATGACCGGAGTCCCCAGGCGGAGGGCAGCTACGGGTTCAGTTCGGCGTGGCACTCTGAAGGCATCAGGTCTGAAAGCACACCAAGCCCTACGGGGTTCAGCGAGCACTGACTAAGGAGGGCAGGCAGAGCCGCCGTCTCTCCTCCTGCCGCCCACCAGCTGGGTCCCAGCACTCTGCAGCACCACTGCCCTAGGTATCCTTGAACTGAACTGTCAAGGCCTCTGGCCACGCACAAGCAGGGATGAATGTCTCCTGTCAACTCTTAACTTCAGTTTGGTGTGCTGCTATCTATCAGCTCATCTCAGCATATAAAAGTAAAAAAAGCTGCTTGATTTCATGCTGCTTAAAGTAGTTACAGGTTACTCATTGTTCTTTCAAAGTGAGAAAACTGGGGCCCGAGTGTTGATGCTGTTTTTGAAGGGGTGGCTGCCCACAACTGGCCTCCCATGGCTGGCACTTAGTTTGTGTGGCCACAATGTTTAAAAGAAAGCAAGGCCTGCGGCTCTGAGTCCACGTGGGAGGGGCCGCACCAGGCCTGTGCTCCTCTGGCCCTGTAGTCTACAGGTGTCACGTGTCACAATCACGTTGCCAGAACACGGAACTCAACCATGTTTCAGCCAACTCGAGAGCGCTAAGCAGAGCTGGGAGGACACCACGAGCTCGAGTTCAGGACTCCACAGTGAAGGCGGATCTGACAGGGGTCACACCTTTAGGCTCCGTCCTGCCAGCGTCCTTGATTTCCAAAGGCTCAGGAGGCTTAACCTTCTGCTTCCAGGGCCCTGCACGGCCCGAGTCGCAGGTCAGTCTGGCTACCGGCAAGGGGAACGCCATCACCTGCACAGTGCGCTGCCTCTCCGCACGGGAATGGCACGAACAGGGCTGCCGACCTCGTGGGAGCAGCTGCTGTGGTGACCAAACGCCTTGAAGGCGGAGGGGGGACTCACTTCAGAAGAGCAACAAGGATGGCCGAGGTCACAGGCGGCCGGACAGGCTCCTGCCCCAGTCCTACTTCAGTCTGCTTTGGTGGCCTGGGAAAGGTTTGCTTGCTTTAGGCGAGAAGAAAAAGAAATGAGTTTCCCTAAGAGATTCATGTCGGGCCCTAACAATGTTTTCTTGAGAAAAATTTTTGGGTGAATTTGGATTCAACTGTGGAAAGAGCAGCAGAAGCAGGTGCGAAGTCATGTTTGGTGTTTATACAGCGGTAAGATCCGGAACAGAACCTGTTTCTCACCGGCTGAATCGCTTCCATTCTGGCTCTACCAAGTGGCTCCCTCCTCCCCTTCCTAGTGACTGCTGAGTCACAGAAAGCCTGACCACCCTCCTGCTTGGGCCTTCCCCTCCGATTCTATCCAGTTCCATCCCTTCGACAGCGCGTGCTGCTCCGGCTTGACAGAACCCAGGTTTTATTTGCCACCACTCCACAGGAGGCGGTAAGCTTTCCAATTTGACTTGTTAAAAAAAAAAAAAAAAAAGATGCAAGAGGTTGCAAAGTGTTTCCATGAAATCCACAGGCGTGGACACAGGACTGCAAAGTTCAAACTAACAACACACACTCGAACCCCAGAGCGGTTCCCGCATCCGCCTGTCCACATGCCACACCTCGGTCTGTCCTTTGCCACGGAGCGAGGACTGACCAGCTCTGAGGCCCACGGCTGGGCGGGGCGGCTGCGGGGGCGGGCCGGCAGGCGGTGACTCGGCCAGCAGCTCGCCGTGCTCCGCCCCCTGCGCGCCCTGCCGCCGCCTGTACTGCACACACGCCACAGACGCCCGGGCCACCCTGAGCCCGGCGCGGAACTTGCTGCTGGCCACGTCCAGTCCGTCTCGGCCCACGCGGAATGGATTGTGCTCTTTCTCTATCTTTGTAAAAAGTGTGGAGGGTTACAAGTGGGAGAGAGGCATCCTGTCTTCCACCAGCACAGTGTCCATCCCAAACTGGTCGGTGCACTGCTTCACGGTGGCCAGGACGCTGAGGAGCCGCTGGTCCATGGCGTCCAGGTGAGGCTCGGACAGCACTGGCGAGATGGGGTCGTGGGCCATGGCAGAGTGTAAGGCAGACTTCAGCACGCCATTCTTCAGGTAGTTCAGTCTGTTCCAGGTGGAAACCCGAATGCTGCAAGAAAGTTTCATGACGTGTCACACAGAACCTCATCTCAGATGGAGTTAAAAACAACAGAAAAATCCATGTAAAGTGCTTTCCGTTACCTCTCTACTACGAGTAGCCACGCTGCTACAGTTTGGTATTTGGGGGAGGAGGGTAACTAATCAGACACATATATACATATTTGCGCATGGTCACTAGTGTTACTTACGATGCAAAATGTGAAACTACCTGAGCGTGCAACAGTCGGTTGGCAAATACTTAAATCACCCACCCAAAGGCAGCCCGGGAAGCCGGTAATGACCGGTTTGAAGGGGAGATGTCGTGCACAGTAGTCACGCTGCCCCGAAGAACGCGGCCTTCCGTGTCCGAGTGCCTGGAAGAGCCTGCTACACCTTGATCCAGCTGCCTGCAAATGCACCTGGGAGGCAGCAGACGACAGCCCCAGCACCGAGGTCTCTGCATCCACGTGAGGGACACGGAGGGAGCTGCTGGCTTCTACCTTCGGCCTGGCCCACCCCGATGCTGTAGGCAGTTAGAAGTGAGCCAGCAGATAGAAGAGCCCTCGGCCTCCTTCTCTGTCACTCTGCCTTCCACAAAAATATAAATGAATAAACATTTTAGAAACCAGTTTTGGGGCCAGCACTGTGGCATAGTGGGTAAAGCCACCGCCTGCGATGCCAGCATCTCATATGGGCACCAGGTTTAGTACCAGCTGCTTCACTTCTGATCCAGCTCCCTGCTGTGGTCTGGGAAAGCAGCAGGAGAAGGCCCAAGTACTTGGACCCCTGCACCCACATGGGAAACCCGGATGAAGCCCCTGGCTCCTGGCTCAGGTCTGGTCCAGCCCTGGCAGTTTGGCCCATTTGGGAAGTAAACCAGCAGATGGAAGATCTCTCTTTCTCTTTCTCTCTAATTGTGTGTGTGTGTGTGTGTGTCTTCCTCTCTGTAACTCTGCCTTTCAAATAAAATAAAATTTTAAAAAGACACACAGCACCCTGTTTTGAGGAGCAGGCACCAGCTAGAGGGTGAGAGGCTGCGTCCGCAGTGGAGTGCTGGGCGTGACGCCTGGCTCTGGCTCCTGACTCAGCTTCCTGCCAGCACAGACGCTGGGAGGCGGTAGGTGATGGCTCAAGTAGCTGGGCTCCTGCCACCCGTGTAGAAGACCAGGATTAAGTTCCTGCTTCGTGGCCCCAGCTACTGGGAGCATTTGGGGAGTGGAGAGTGGATGGGAATACTCTCTGTCTCTCTCTCTCCCTCTCAAAACAAAACAAAAAACCTTTTAAAATTCAGTGGCACAGGAAAATGCCCATTATATAATGTTGAGTATGGGGAAAACGTTGCAGGAAAAAACTGTTTAACTCAAAATCTGTGGGGAGGGCTGGCGATGTGGCGAAGTGGGTAAAGCCACCACCTGCAGTGCCGGCATCCCACATGGGCGCCAGTTTGAGTCCTGGCTGCTCCACTTCCGATCCAGTTCTCTGCTATGGCCTGGGAAAGCAGCGGAAGACGGCCCAAGTCCTTGGGCCCCTGCACCCGCATGGCAGACCCAGAAGAAGCTCCTGACTCCTGGCTTCGGATTGGCGCAGCTCCGGCCATTGTGGTCAACTGGGGAGTGGACCGGCAGATGGAAGACCTCTCTCTCTCTCTCTGCCTCTCCTTTTCTCTCTGTGTAACTCTGACTTTCAAATAAAATAAATAAATCTTTAAAAAAAAATCTGTGGGGAAACAAATATGGGCACACACAATAGGATGAAATAAGCAACATGTTAACAGAAATTATTCTTAGGTGTTAATGGGCAGTTTACATTTTCCTCAAAATGTCTGAATTTTAAAAAATTTCTTGGGTTAATATTAGTATTACAAAATTTACTTATTTACTAAGGATTTATTTATGTATTTGAAAGGCAGAGTGAGAGGAGATTGATTGATCTTCCATCCTCTGGTTCACTCCCTAGATCGCCACAATGCCCAGGGTTGGGCCAGGCCAAAGCCAGGAGCCAGGATCTTCATCCGGGTCTCCCATGGTGGTGCAGGGGCCCAAGCACTGGGGCCATCCTCCACTAATAGCTTTCCCAGGCCACAGCAGGGAGCTCGATTGGAAGTGGAGCAGCTGGGACTTGAACCGGTGCTCATAGGGGATGCTGGCGGTGCAGGCGGCAGCTTAACCTGCTGTGCCACGGTGCTGAGAGGTGGGATCTTGAAGAGGTGGTTAGGCCAGGAGGCTGGCTCTGCCCTCAGAGGCGGAATCGGTGCTCCTGCGCCAAGGCCAGCTCAGTGCCCCCTTTTGCTCGCTCGCTCGCTCTCTCTGCCTTTCCGCCTTCCACCTTGTGGTGATGTAGCAGCAAAGCCTTCATCAGACACCAGCACCCTGGTCTCGGACGTCCTGGGCGCCAGAACTGTGAGCCCGTACATTCCCACTCATTTGAAATGACCCATTCTGGATATTCTGACAGAGGCACAAAAACTGATGAAAACGCCAGCCAGGGCCGTTGCTGGGGCACAGTGGGTTAGGCTGCCACCTGTGAAGCCAGCATCCCATACAGGCGCCAGTTCCAGTCCCGGCTGCTCCACTTCCCATCCAGCTCCCTACTAATGCACCTGGGAAAGCAGCAGAAGATGGCCCAAGTGTTTGGGCCCCTGCACCCACAAGAGAGACCTGGATGAAGCTCCTGGCTCCTGGCTTGGGTCTGACCCAGCCCTGGCTTTTGTGACCATTTGGGGAGAGAATCGGTGGATAGAGGATCTCTCCCTTTCTCTCTCTGTACTTTGCCTTTCAAATAAAAATAAATGAATTTATATATATATATATACACACACACACACACACACACACACCCCAACTGAAGGTGAGAAACGCTCTTACCTTCCTGAGGGCTCTGTGGAAAGGACTAGGCATGTGGAAATGTCTGGCTCTGCAAGAGGGAGCCTGTTCTGCAACTATCTAAAAAGTAAGGGAGGAGCCAGTGCTGTGGCACAGCAGGTTAACGCCCTGGCCTGCAGCGCCGGCTTCCCGTATGGGCGCTGATTCGAGAACCGGCTGCTCCACTTCTGATCCAGCTCTCTGCTGTGGCCTGGGAAAGTAGTAGAGAATGGCCCAAGTCCTTGGGCCCCTGCACCCGCATTGGAGACCCAGAGGAAGCTCCTGGCTCCTGGCTTTGGATCAGCGTGGCTCCTGCCACTGCAGCCAACTGGGGAGTGAACCAGCAGATGGAAGACCTCTCTTTCTCTGTCTCTCTCTCCCTCTCTCTGCCTCTTCTCTCTCTGTGTAACTCTGACTTTCAAATAAATAAATAAATCTTAAAAAAAAAAAAAAGGAAGATCCCTCTTTGCATCAAGCATTCTGAAAACTGCCACGAAGCCCAGAGCATGAGAGCTTCCTGTGTGACCGAGTTACTGCTTACTGCACGTCAGCTCCAAATTCACTCTTACACAGACACTCTGCAAGAACGAACAGAATTCCTCTAAGCTTCTCCCCTCCTGAGCTTTCCAAGTGGAGGATGCTGGAGGGACACGACAAGAGGCAGGCGCAGAGAGCTTCCGGCCACGACAGCAGGTCTGTGGTGTGGAGGCAGGTCATCTGGCGGAGCTCTTACCAGCCACAGTCCCCGGAGGTGTAGGCCCTGGGAGACGCTCAAGCCTCAGGGTGGCTGGTAATAACATCCTAAAGCCTTCTCAACAGGGAGATGCAAGCCTAAAAGGCCGTTTGCCCAGGCCGTACCCCAGGTCCCTCTGCAGGGCCCCAGGCAGCCTTGCCTGCAGCCCCGAGGATTCCGAGCGAGTACCTAAGCTCTCCGGCCACGACAGTATCTGCTGAGTGACTGCACCCCACCTGCGAACTCCCCTATCTTCTCCGTCCTGGGGACAGACCCTACCTCTCCACTGAGGCCCACACTCCAGCCTCGGGTACTCGCCTTCACCCCGGGCTTTCTTTTCTTCTTTTGTTTTTTTTCAAAGATTTTGTTTACTTATTTGAAAGGTAGAGTTTCAGGCAGAGAGAGGGAGAGAAAGATCTTCCATCTGCTGGTTCACTCCCCAGATGTCCACAGTGGCTGGAGCTGGTCTGATCCAAAGCCAGGAGCTTCTTCCAGGTCTCCCACGCGGGTGCAGGGGCCCAAGAACCTGGGCCATCTTCTACTGCTCTCCCAGGCCATAGCAGAGAGCTGGATCGGAAGAGGAGCAGCCAGGACTCGAACCAGTGCCCACATGGGATGCAGGCCCTGCAGGCGGCGGCTTTACCCACTACACCACAGCGCCACTCCTCCTGGTTTTCTTTTAGACCCCTCTTAGGTTAGAATTTAGTAATTCTTTAGATATTAAACTTTCCTATATAATATGCTATGCCTCTTCTGTTTCTTGATTGGACCAGACTTTTAACACTGACGATCAAAACAAAAACATTTTCCTTCCAAGATACATAGAATTTTTTAATTGTGTGTATCACTGCTTTCCAGTATTAATGAGGACAATTAGGGTTGCCTGGGTAAACTCTTAATTTCTTCAGAATTTTGCTGCTATCTTAAAAAGAAAAGAAAACCATTTCTAGGAGGGGACGTCTGACGTGGTGTTCGTGGGAGTCGAACAGTCCTAAGTGGCGCTCCTGGCTTGCTTTGTTTCTCTGTGTAGCCCAGAAAGGTGGACCCCAGCTTTCCTGATGTGCATGTTGAAAAGTACAGTAAGAGGGGCAGGAGTTGGGCACGGCACGAAGATGCTGCGTGGGATGCCAGCATCTTCATCAGAGTGCCTCGTTCAGGTCCTGGTTCACGTTCCGGCTCCTCCCCTTCCAGTCCGGCCTCCTACTGACAAGCACCCTGCAGAGGCAGCTGAGGGCCCCAGGACCTGGGTCCCTGACACCCAACTGGGATACCTGAATGGAATTCCAGACTCCCTGCCTCAGCCTGGCCTGACCCCAGCTGTTGCAGGCATCTGGGGAGTGAACCAGTGGATGGAAGATCTCTCTGTCTCTCTGCCTCTCAAAGAATAATAAAATCAAATTAACTTTAAATTATATTTTAAAAATTCCACCGAGAATGATGATCTGAGAAGTTGGTCCTTACGGCACTTCTTTATTTCATTTTCTTGACTTACTTTTCAATTTCTTTGTTCTCTAATAAAGACTTTAAAAAAATTATTATACTTTGGGGAAAAGGTACTTTTGATTTAGACAATTTCAAACCAAGACGTGCAAATTCCAGGTGGTGTGTGATAGGTGAGAGGAAAACCAGATGCAGCAACCAAGGTCGCACTTTACTGGAAGATTTTTTTTGGTAGGAAGATGGGGGATAATCAATGTTAAATCAAATATGGACAGGTATTACTGACAGATTACAAACTTCTACCCATCCAGGACTCACCACTGCCTCTGGGCTGTGGTTCCCTGCCTCCGTCTCAGGGCCTCCAGGGGCTCTGGCTGGAGCAGGGTAAGCAGCAGTCCCAGCACCAGCAGGGCCTAGGGCGCTCCCCGAGCCTGGGACGGCAGGCGGGGCGGGGCAGGCACCTATACTTCCTGTGCATAACTTACATGCAGCACTGATAGAGAGGGGCAAGGATGCTTCTCTCATCCAGCGAAGGGTTCCCAAAGCTGAAAAGTAAACCAAGACGAGTCAGTCGGAGGGAAGTGCCAGCGCCCCTCTCAGCGGCAACGCAACAGCCAGTTCTCTACCAAACCCAAACACGATCCTGGACAATGTCATGCTCTAGCAGCCCAAGACACTTACAATCAGAAACACCAATCAGATTTAGGATCCCTACCACCTACACTGAAGCATCGAACAGCAAACACCCTCAGCTGCCAGGACCCCCTGCCTGCCAAAATACTGCAAGGTGCTCACTTCACCACGGTGGCTGGTGGCGTTCCCAGAGCAAGGGAGACCCTGAGGACCCCCAAACCCCAATGGCCTCAGGGGCAGGAGGAAAACAAAGGCTTCCCTGCCAGCAGGGGGCTGTTACTAGAAAAACAAGTCAGGCACGTTTTTCTCCAAAACTACCAATATCCCAGTCTCTGAAAGTAAGTTTACAGACAGGATTCAACTTGGAAAAATCACTCACGGAGCAGATACAAAATGACCTCAGCGGTAATTCACAGTCAGAAAAGGAGGGCAGAAGCGGCTCCTGTTCTTTCCCTGCAAGCTCACCTTAGCAGCTCAGGACTCTGGGAGCCCTTGGTGCCACGCAGATGCTCCACTAAGAAAAGGCAAAGCTCGCCGGCGCCGCGGCTCACTAGGCTAATCCTCCGCCTGCAGCGCCGGCACACCGGGTTCTTGTCTTGGTCAGGGTGCCAGATTCTGTCCCGGTTGTCCCTCTTCCAGGCCAGCTCTCTGCTGTGGCCCGGGAGTGCAGTGGAGGATGGCCCAAGTGCTTGGGCCCTGCACCCCATGGGAGACCAGGATAAGTACCTGGCTCCTGGCTTCAGATTGGCACAGCGCCAGCCATGGCAGCCATTTGGGGGGTGAACCAATGGAAGGAAGACCTTTCTCTCTGTCTCTCTCTCACTAACTCTGCCTTTAAAAAAAAAAAAAAAAGGCAAAGGTAAATGCCATGTCTGAACGCTTGTGTTCCGAGACCCAGTCACCTCACGACAGCATTGGGAGTGGAGCCTTGGGCAGTGTGTACGTCACGAGGGCAGACTCTCTGCCAGCATTAGTGCCCTACAGAGGAGGCCAGAGGAAGCGTGTTCACCTTTTCCACCACGTGAGGACACGGAGAAGGCTCGATTCATGAGAAACGGGCCCTCACTACACACTGAGTCTGCCAGCGCCTTGTTCTTGGACTCAGGTCTCCAGAACGGCCTGCGGGACGCCCACTGTTCAGAAATCACCGTCTGGGGTACTCTGTTGTGGACCCCATGGACTGAAACAGTGACAGTGCTGATACGCATGTGGAATGTCATGTGTATGGCGGCATGTCGGATCTTGTTCTGTAAGAAAGAAGGATCCTTTTTCACAAGCAAGGTTGAAGATTTCCAGGAACATGCGCACACTGTCCACCACCTGCTCTGCTGCGACAGGGTGGAGGGACTGCTGATGGCGCACCAGGTGCCTGAGGTGGCATCTTCTGCAAATGCTGCCCAAGCGCTCTGTGCTGAGGAACTGTCTCGGCTTATTCCTGGCAGCCAAGGCTGACAGCAGGGCCTTCTGCCTGGCCGGTTTTGGGCACCAGGGAATCAGTCTATTTAGCAAACACTTATTAAGAACAGTGAACCATGTGATAATGAACTGGCCACCACGTAGAACGCAGAAGACAAAATGGAAACACGATGTGCTCTCCAAACAGCTCAGGCTTAAATAAACAAGGATATTCTATTCATTCAAAAGTAAATAAAGTTCTGGGGTTGGTACTGTAGCGTAGAAGGTTTGGCCTCTGCCTGCGGTGCCAGCATCCCATAAGGGCTCCAGTTTGAGTACCAGCTGCTCCACTTCCAATCTCTGTTAATGGCCTGCAAAAGCAGTGGGGGATGGTCCAAGTGCTTGGACCCCTGCACCCATGTGGGAGACCTGGAAGAAGCTCCTGGCTCTTTCCTGGCCCAGCCCTGGCCACTGCAGCCATTTGGGAAGTAAACCAGTAGATGGAAGATCTCTCTTTCTCTCTCTCTCTGCCTTTCAAATAAATCTTAAAAAAAAAAAAGTCTGTGTTATTTAAGATAAAAGCAATTTGTCTTTATATGTAATCAGTAAGTGCCCACTCTTCTTTCCAAGGATAGCAGAAGTCTTGGTCTAACCTGCCATAAAACTAGCAAAACATCCTATCAAGTGAATTAACATTTAAAAATGGACAGAACAGATTTAGCTGGAAAACAATTTCATGTTCTACTAAATCTGTACTTGTCAAGATTCTAAACATCATGGCCAAGAAAGAATGATGAATGTCGTGACAAATTAAAAACCCAGGTTTCTAGTCGTCTCTGAAGAGGACAATTTCTACATTTTTTTAAAGTCCTGGGACCCCTGCGGAGAGAGGGAAGGACTCCCGGGGAGAAGGCAGGCCGCCTCCTCTCGGTGCCGTCCGTCCATGACCTCCCAGAATGTGTCCTCACACAGAGTGCAGTCCATGACCTCCCAGGACGTGTCCTCACACAGAGAGCCGCCCGTGACCTCCCAGGACGTGTCCTCACACAGAGAGCCGCCCGTGACCTCCCAGAACGTGTCCTCACACAGAGAGCCGCCCGTGACCTCCCAGAACGTGTCCTCACACAGAGAGCGCCCGTGACCTCCCAGAACGTGTCCTCACACAGAGAGCCGTCCGTGACCTCCCAGAACGTGTCCTCACACAGAGAGCCGCCCGTGACCTCCCAGAACGTGTCCTCACACAGAGAGCCGCCCGTGACCTCCCAGAACGTGTCCTCACACAGAGAGCTGCCCGTGACCTCCCAGAACGTGTCCTCACACAGAGAGCCGCCCGTGACCTCCCAGAACGTGTTCTCACACAGAGAGCCGCCCGTGACCTCTCAGAACGTGTCCTCACACAGAGAGCGCCCCGTGACTCCCAGAACGTGTCCTCACACAGAGAGCCGTCCGTGACCTTCCAGAACTGTCCTCACACAGAGAGCCGCCCGTGACCTCCCAGAACGTGTCCTCACACAGAGAGCCGCCCGTGACCTCCAGAACGTGTCCTCACACAGAGAGCCGCCCGTGACCTCCCAGAACGTGTCCTCACACAGAGAGCCGCCCGTGACCTCCCAGAACGTGTCCTCACACAGAGAGCCGCCCGTGACCTCCCAGAACGTGTCCTCACACAGAGAGCCGCCCGTGACCTCCCAGAACGTGTCCTCACACAGAGAGCCCCACCTGCCAAGGCGGCGCCGCTGGCCTTACCTTTTGGCATTGTCGAGAAGGATAAGCATACTGGCGCCCTCGTCGTCCTGAAAGCTCTCGTAGTGATGGCGGTCGGCATTGCCAATCAGGTAATCGAAGACGGCTGTGTCAATGATGTCCAGGAGGCGCGGGCCGGAGTCGTAAGGGGACGTCTTCTTCACAGCATCACAGTAGCTCTCATCGTATTCCCACCTGGAGGCCAGCGGCACCAACAGCGTGACTGAGTGCCAGCGTTTCACCTGGCACTGTTACAAGGCCAAGATACAGCCCCTGCCCAGCGAGTCCGGCCCCACCCTGCCCTTCTTTTCATTCCTGCACAGAGCTTCGGGCTCCCACAGGCTTGGCCCCTCGCCTGGCTCCGGGGAGGGTTAAGGAGTGGCTCACGGCAGCATTACCTGGCCAATTTGCCTTCTCGATAGGTTCTGCCCCATGGGTGCCGGTGTTTCTGCAGAGGCCACACGTCCGGAAGCCACAGGGTCACAGACCCTTCCATCATGTCCCCGTCGGCACAAGCTGGCTCAGTTTCTCGGCAGTAGTAACACTTCCCATAGAAACAAGTATTGTTCCCTGAAGGGCAGAAAAGACACTTTGTTCAAGGAACAAAGGAGATTCCCAAATTCTCCCAATGCAGATGAAAGCAGCTACGTAAACAGGGACTGCGAGAACAAAGATCTTCAACTTCATCATATTTCTTTTTTGTAATTGACAGAGTTAGACAGTGACAGAGAGAGAGAGAGAGAGACAGAGAGAAAGGTCTTCCTTCCGTTGGTTCACCCCCCAAATGGCCTCTATGGCCGGCGTTGCGCCTATCCGAAGCCAGGAGCCAGGTGCTTCCTCCTGGTCTCCCATGGGGGTGCAGGGCCCAAGCACTTGGGCCATCCTCCACTGCAGAGAGCTGGACTGGAAGAGGAGCAGCTGGGACTAGAACCTGGAGCACACATGGGATGCCGGCGCTGCAGGTGGAGGATTAACCAAGTGAGCCACGGTGCCAGCCCCTAACTTCATCATATTTCTAACAGTTATTCTCCTGTATAGGTGATGAAGTACACGTTGAAAAAATGTAAAAAGTGCCAAAGAGACATATACTAAGTACACTGGCCGGCGCCGCGGCTCACTAGGCTAATCCTCTGCCTGCGGCACCGGCACCCTGGGTTCTAGTCCCGGTTGCTCCTCTTCCAGTCCAGCTCTCTGCTGTGGCCCGGGAAGGCAGTGGAGGATGGCCCAAGTGCTTGGGCCCTGCACCCGCATGGGAGACCAGGAGGAAGCACCTGGCTCCTGGATTCGAATCAGCGCAGTGCGCCGGCCGCAGTAGCGGCCATTTGGGGGGTGAACCAACAGAAGGAAGACCTTTCTCTCTGTCTCTCTCTCTCACTAACTCTGCCTGTCACAAAAAAAAAAAAAAAAAAAAAAAAAAAAGTAGTACACCTCGCTTTCCTTCTGTGTCCTTTTAACCCACTCTCCCAGGAATCAACTACCATCACAATACCACAGCATCTTTCCAAACTCTAGGGAGAGGAAGGCGGTGTCCTAGTCTTCCTTTACAATGCTGATTCTGGTCAGAATGTCCAGAGGAGGCTGGGAGGAGGCCGTACTGCTGCTTTTCCCAGGCCGTTAGAAGGGGGCTGGGTCAGCAGCCAGGACTTAACCCAGTGCCCTGTGGGAAGCCAGCGTGGCAGACGGCACCTTAATCCGTTACACCACAATGCCGGCCCGGGAGACACAGACACTTTAAGGAAGTAATGAGACAGTCACATCTGTGACCTGCTCTCAAACTGGCTCGGCGGTGTAACCAGGGAGGGAGCTGCAGGCCTCTGGGGACTGCTTCTGCAACTTTCTGGTAAATTTAAAATGATCTCAGAATAGAAAAAATTTTAAGTAAAATTTATTAAATGATAAATAATGCTTCTGTTTGTCCCCCTACCTCTGTGAAACAGTCATCAGGTAAGCTAACTCCCTGTACCTAGAAAATCCCACACACTCCTCTAGTGACCGCTTTATATTCTTAAGAATGTGTATCCACGAGAAGACTGGCAAGATTCAGACTTACTCCTGTTTCCAACCTCTGCTGCAATACACAGTCAACAGAAACTAACCGACCACACGGCTACTCAGGAAGCTGATGACCCCGCTCTTCCTCACTGTAGCAATTCTTCCAGATCAAGAAGAACCAACTAACCGAAAGATACACCACATGTATGTTTACATTCGTCAAAATATAAAATTATAAATTTTACCTAATGCCACCAAAATATCGGAAGATTTTTTAGAGTAACTAGACAAACAGGAGAAAGAGAGAGCGATGTCTCTCGTCTGCTGGCTCACTCCCACAAATGCCTGCAACAGCCAAGGGAGCTGGGTCACACCGAAGCCAGGAGCTCCAAATTCAATCCGGGTCTCCCATGTGGGAGACAGGAACCTGGCACTTGAGCCATCACCACTGCCTCCCACAGTATGTGGTTGTAAAAAACTGGAATCAAAAGTCGAGCCAGGGGCTGGTGCAGTGGCGTAGTAGGTTAAGCCTCCGCCTGAGGTGCCAGCATCACATATGAGTGCTGGTTCGAGTCCTGGCTGCTCCACTTCTGATCAAGCTCCCTGCTAATGCTCCTGGGAAAGCAATGGAAGATGACCCAAGGGCTTGGGCCCCTACACCCACATGGGAGACATCGAAGAAACTTCTGGCTCCTGTCTTCGGATCGGCCAAGCTCCAGCCTTATGGTTTCCACCGTGGGTGCAAGGGCCCAAGCACTTGAGTCATCTTCCACTGCTTTCCAGGAGCATTAGCAGAGAGCTGGATCAGAAGTGGCAGCAGCTGGGACTGGAACCTGGAGCCTGCATGAGATGCGGGTGTCACAGGCTGTGGCTTAACCTGCTGTGCCACAGAGCCACCCTTCATGCGCTCTTGACTATGGTCTCCTGAGCTGGTCATGCTCTTTCCCTACTTCTCATCACCTCGCTCATGTCTGTTCTCCACCTGTGGCAACGTTAACTTGGGGCCTGAGAACTGAACAGAAATAAAACTGCATTTTTATTTTCAATAATAGCAACTTGAAATTTAACACTTTTTTCCATCAGAATGGCAGGGAGCAGACTACAATATTAGCATTGCCTGTGACTTTGCCATCAAAGAAAATCACAGATATTTCATACTTTATTATTATAACTGTTTGTAGATATCCCTAAATATCTAAATTATATTTCTTTTTTAAAAAAGATGTATTTATTTATTTGAAGTACAAATAAGACAAAGTACAAATAAGACAAATAAGTACAAAGAGAGAAGGAGAGTCAAAGAGAGAGACTCTTCTATCTACTAGTTCACTCCCCAAATGGCTACAACAACTGGAGCTGGGCCAGGCTGAAGCCAAGAGCCAGGAGCTTCTTCTGGGTCTCCCACATGGGTGCAGGGGCCCAAGCACTCGCACAATCCTCTGCTGTTTTCCCAAGTGCATGAGCAGGGGGGAGCTGGATCAGAAGTGGAACAGCCAGAACTCAAACTGGGCCCACATGGGATGCTGGCACTGCAGGCTGTGGCTTAAGCCACTGTGCCATGGCGCCAGCTGTCTAACTAATACTTCTAGTCTGAAATGATCTAGATCTCTGCTAGAACTTATTTAATATGTGAAGTAACAAAGCACATGTTATTATATCATCAGTTTTCCTTTTCCAAATTCTGATAAGGAAAGTATAGGACATTATTGGCTTCATTTCATTTTATGTATTTAAAAACATTTTGAGAAAGGCTCCATAAGCTTCTCCAGACCACAAGCAATGCTGAGACCAAGCCTGGAACGTCCCTTTCCATCAGGGACTGCGACCCTCCCTTTGAGACTGGATTAACATATCTCTGAAAATATTCACATCACTTTCACCAGTGGAGCCCTCCCCACTCCAGTGTCTGGCTCCCCCATTAGACAAAATCCCTTGAGGACAGGAAGGTCAGTCAGCACCTAGTTCACAGCCTTGGATATGGAAGTGAAACCAACTTGTGTTGAATAAATGACTATGTATCAAAGAACACAAGCAGATGAAAAATTGGGGACCTTAGAATCTGGGTTTGAGCCCTGCCTAACAGTTAGCAGCTCTGTCTCTGGGAAGCTCCTTTAACTTTTCTAAGCCTCCTTTCTCAGGTATATGAAATGTGGGCAATACCTCCCTTACGTATTACTAACAAGAGGATCAATTAAGACAACAATGTGAAAGGGCTTTGTTAAGTTCAAGGGCTATGTATCATTATACCAACCTATTAGTTTAAAAATTTTTTAAAAAATGAGGGGCCGGCACTGTGGAGTAGTGGGTAAAGCTGCCGCCTGCAGTGCCAGCATCCCATATGGGCGCTGGTTCAAGTCCTAGCTGCTCTACTTCTGATCCAGCTCTCTGCTATGGCCTGGGAAAGCAGTAGAAGATGGCCCAAGTCCTTGGACTCCTGCACCCCCATGGGAGACCCAGAAGAAGCTCCTGGCTCCTGGCTCCGGATCGGCGCAGCTCTGGCTGTTGCAGCCAGCTGGGGAGTGAACCAGTGGGTAGAAGACTTCTCTCTTTCTGCCTTTGCCTCTGCCTCTTTTTACTAAGAGAATACTCTTCCTTTCAAATAAATAAATAAATCTTTTTAAAAATTTTAAAAATGTATCAAAGGGCTGGTGTTGTGGCAAAGCAGGTTAAGCCGCTGCCTGATGCACTGGCATCCCATACAGGTGCCAGTTCCAGTCCCGGGTGCTCTGCTTCCGATCCAGCTCCCTGCTAATGCACCTGGGAAAGCAGTGGAAGATGGCACAAATGCTTGGGCCCCTGCACCCATGTGGGAGACCTGGAAGAAGCTCCTGGCTTTGGATCAGCCCAGCTCTGGCTGTTGAGGCCATTTGGGGAGTGAACCAGAGGAAGGAGGATCTCTCTCTGCCTCTGCCACACCTTCTCTGTAACTCTGCCTTTCAAATAAATAATTTTTAAAAAAGCATCAAGAAAATGAGAAGACAAGTCACAGAGTGGGAGAAAGTATTTGCAAAAGACACATCTGACAAAGGACTATCACCCTAAATATGCCAAGAACTCTGAAATGTGAACAGTCAGGGCAGGTGTTTGGTCTAACAGCTACGAAATTGGCTGGGATGTCTGCAGCCCATGCCGGAGTCCCTGCTGCACTACCCGCCCCAGCTTCCTGGTAAGGCGCGCCCTGGGAGGCGGCAGTGACGGCTCAGTGGTTGGGTCTCTGCCTCACACATGGTGATCTGCATCGAGCTCTTGCCTCCAGCTATGGCCTGGCTCGGCCTGGCTGGTACAGACACTGGGGAAGCCCTCTGTCTGCCTCTAAAAAAAAAAAACCAGAAAAAAATTAAATAAATAAAATAAAAACCAAACTCAACAGTAAGAAAACTAGCAACCTGAAGATTTTAGGACAGTGAAAATAGTCTGTGATACTATAATGAAGTACACCTGCCGTTATGTATCTGAGCATACTCACACGAGTGTGCAACACTGAGTGAACACTCATATCAACTGCAGAGTTTGGGTGACTATGATCTGTCTCAGTTAACAGCTACACCACCCTGATGTGGGCTGTTGACAACGGAGGGGCCAGGCCTGTGTGGGGACAGGAGGCATTTGGGAAATGCCTGCACTTTCCTTCAATTTTGCTGTGAATCTAGAAAAACAGACCACTACCACCACCAGAAACCTCACTTCCAGCCAAACCTCTCCACCCGCCCTCTGCTGGAGGAGTACCCAGAAACCGGTCATCCCCCAAGTGCACCGACCTGCGTGACTTTCAGACCTTCCTACCTGGCTCCCTTTACTACTGCCTATTACTCTGCCCAACGTCCTTCCTCTCTGCTGCCTGGGTAACTTGTTCTGATTCCTCGATATTTAGTCCAAGTGCTAATAACCTCCTCTACCAGCATTTCTCTGGCCTCTCTGTCCCCTACACTTTACACAGTGTATGAGAGTGAGCTTTCTGGAAGTCCCTGAAGAGCAGGGACCCTGCCTTGTTCTTCCTGTTTTCTCTCCCACCCTCCCCCTCTCTCCATCCCATCACCTGCCAGAAACTCAAGGCTGCCAAGCATAAAACTGAACAACCAAAGGTGACTGAAAAAATAACAGAGACACCACATGCCTCTGGTTATCTGTGAGAAAGGCACAGCCTGAGCACTGCAAGTTTAAATTCTGAAAGCTGAATCCCACACAAGTCCTTTAAAAATTCAGTTTTACCCCATTCTAAATGTAACTCCTTTCACTCTAGCAGAAAGCAAGGTGAAGTTCACTTGCAATGTCTGTTTCGACAGTCACACCACCAGGTAGAGCACTGTGTCACTGAAAACGAGTCCCTGTGAAAAGGCTGAGACGAGAGACCACAGGATCCCTGCATTCTTCTCATGCCGGTCAGGAGAACAGGACTGAGGATTCGGGTCAGGTCCCTTATCGCAGAGGGGACATGGGAAACAGAGGCCGGGGGCCCCACGGCCAGTCTGCGCAGTGAGCTACGGGCTGGCCCGTGCAGAGTTGGGAGAGGCACTGCAGATCTTCCAGGCCCAGTGCAAGGCTACAGGGGGATTTCTGGCCCTTTCACAGAACTGCCTTGGGGTTTCCTCAATTCTCAGAAGACAGGAAGACGGTTCCCAAGAAAGAACTTAAATGAAAGGTCCCCCCAGGAAAATGAACGGTACGCGAGACAGCAACTGATTTCGGCCAAGTTCTGAGTTTGGGGATTAGCTGTAAAACCAGGCAGAAGGCAATGCAGCACCAGCCGGCTTGCCCTGGCCGCCACTGACTTTCCAGGCCAACAGAGCGCGCGCTAGGAAACCTCTCTTCCCTTCCATCTGCCTCTACGGCCACCTCCCTCTGCAGCCGGCTGGTCAGTGAGGCCTCGCCCCCACCTCCCCCGGCGGTGAACCTGAACCAGCTAACCCGTGATCTTCTTACCTGCAGTCAGGAAAGTGCTCAGCAGCTGCTCCGTGGCCACAGGCTTGATCTCTGTCCGCAGGTTGACAAACCTGCCAACCACCAGCGGCGCTCGGCGGAAACCCAGAATCCTGGATGGAAGGTTGGAAACAAGGGCAAGATCTCCAGGGATACATTTTAAGTAACAGTCTCAAAATTATGGTTAACCATTTTAAATGCGTAAAGGTGCAACCAGTTAGGGGTTCAGCGTTAGGAGGCGTAAAATCTACTGTGCACTTCAGCAGAAAAGATGAAGCCAATCTGGCAAAACAGGAACCACCGGTAAATCTAGGAAGTGGGTACATGGGCTCATTGTACTATTCTCTCCACTTTCATTGGACATTTTCATAGTACAAATGAAAAAATATATTAACAAAGCATTAGGAAAAATGGGCCTCAACACAAGCATGGGCTCAAAGCTCTGCATAAAACAGCACACTGACAACACAGACTGATCCGAAAGAAGAAATCCTCAGCACAACTCACAAACACACACACTTGAAGATCGTTCTCTCACTCCAATGGTTTGAAAGCACTACCTCACGGTTAAAAACGATCACTTTTCAGTGAATTTTCATGGCTAAAAAATACACACGGAAGAAAATTTGGACGGCCAGAGTCTGGAACACCCAGAAAATTTATAATGAAGAAATAAAGATCATCTAGAACCACATAGAAATAATTGCTGGCATCTGGCATATAAGCATTTTCTTTTTTTAAATTTATTTATTGGCTGGCGCTGTGGCGTAGCAGGTAAAGCTGCATCCCATATTGCCGCTTCGGGACCCGGCTGCTCCTCTTCCAGTCCAGCTCTCTGCTGTGGCCTGGGAAAGCAGTGGAGGATGGCCAGGTGCTCGGCCCCTGCACCCATGTGAGAGACCTGGATGAGGCTCCTGACTCCTGGTTTCGTATCGGCACAGCTCCGGCTGTTGCGGCCAACTGGGGAGTGAACCAGCGGATGGAAGACCTCTCTCTTTCTCTCTCTGCCTCTCCCTCTCTCTCTCTGTAACTCTGACTTTGAAATAAATAAATAAAATCAGAGCTACAACGAGAAAGAGAGAGAGAGAGAGAGGGAGACAGATCTTCCATTTGCTGGTTCACTTCCCAGATGGCTGCAACAGCCAGGGCTGGTCCAGGCCAAAGCCAGGAGCTGCATCCAGGTCTCCCTCGTGGGTACATGGGCCCCAAGCACCTGGGCATTCTCTGCTGCTTTCCCAGACACAACAGCAGAGAGCTGGATCAGAAGTGAGCAACTGGGACACAAACTGGTGCCCACAGCAGACGCTGGCATCACAGGTGACTGCCCAGGCCACTACTCTGGCCCCTGGGAAGTCATTACAGATGGCTATTTAGCAGAGCAGTGCTCCATATCAGAGTGCCTGGGTTCAATGCCAGCCTACAGCCCTGACTCTAGCTACCTTCTAAGTGCAGACACTCACAGGCAGCAGTAACAGCTCAAGTAATAGGGTTCCTGCCCCAGGTGGGCGACCTGGATTGGGTTCCCAGCTCCCAGTGTAGCCCAGCCATCGTGGGCATCTGGAGAGTAAACTAGTGGGTGCGAGCTCTGTTCTCTCTCTTTGCCTCTCAATAAATAGAAATTTTTAACAAAATGAAAAAGGCCATGTAATAACTTATCCATTGCTTATGGCTGCTGCTTCTGCCCTACACCTACTTGCAGCAAAGCCACACTAGCAAGGAAATCAACAGATCTGTCAAAACAACATAAAAATTGAGAGAGAACCCCCACAAGAGAAGGGGATTAAGTCTGACTGTGATAGAGAAAGAACAACCCAGAGCAGCAAGGTGTCAGGGGCCACGGATGAAAAACAATGTTGAGGGTTGGTGCTGTGGCACAGCGGGTAAAGTTGCCGCCTGCAGTGCCAGGATCCCATATGGGTGCCGGTTCATGTCCCAGCTGCTCCACTTCTGATCCAGCTCTCTACTGTGGCCTGGGAAAGCAGCAGAAGATGGCCCAAGCCCTTGGGCCCCTGCACCCACGTGGGAGACCCAGAAGAATCTCCTGGCTTCGGATCAGAGCAGCTCCAGCCATTGCAGCCAACTGGGGAGTAAACCATCGGATGGAAGACTGGAAGACCCCCCCACACCTCTCCTTCTCTCTCTGTGTAACTCTGACTTTCAAATAAATAAATAAATCTTAAAAAAAAAAAAAAAAAAAGAAAGAAAAAGAATGTTGAGAAGTATTTTTTCTCCCCACTGACTACTGCTAAGCCAAAGAACAGCCACTTTAGCACCGAGAGTCAGTGTTATGGTGGCACCTGAGCCCAGCTGGAGTGGCAGTTAACAAACGAGGGAGGGGGACTGGCTGGAGGGTGTCATACTTGGAGGGAGGGAGGGAGGGACGGACTTCTCAGTACCAGACCTCTGAAGCTCAAGTCATAAGCACTAAGTAATTCACACCACAAGTAATTATTTTTGTATAAAGAATACTTCACTCTATAGTTAACCACAGGTGTTCTGCTGTGTAGAGCTAAACTTTGCCAGCAACTGAGGAAATATGAAATAACAATTGGATAGCATTTACATATATTATGCTAACAAAAACTAGAGTGTTAGATACTATAAAAAACTGAGCTAGAAATGGAAAAATAAGGATCTTTACGTCCAAGTGGTGTCCAACAAAGTGAAAACAGGATAGGGTTGAGGATGAAGAAAACAGGTGAACAGGAACCAAGGTCTCGGAAAGCCTGATTCCAGTCATGGAGGGCAGGACTTTTCCAAGGTCTTAAGAGGCAGCAAAAATCCACGCCACTTAAGGCTGAGACACTGCTCGGGACACCAGCAACCCCACCAGAGCTCCTGAGAGCCCTAACTCTGTCTGGCTCCAGCGCCCTCCTGAGCCGTACCCGGCAGGCAGCAGGCGATGGCTCAATGGGTTGGGTCCCGCAACCCAGATTCAGTTCCTGACTCCCAGCTTTGGTCTGGCCAAGCCGCCGCCTGCACAGCAGATGGGAGACTCCACCCTCCTACCTCAAACAAGTAAAATAAATAATTTTAAAAACTCCTGGGCATTGTAAACATCTGTTTAACCATGTCTCTGTCAGCAGTCTGCTACCAGTTTTTCACTACTCAGAGTGTTACAGCTAAAATGGTTGTACATATATCTTTGAATTTTTACTTCTTTAGGGTAATTCCTAGAACTATCTCACATATGTGCATAAAAATGCAGTTACTTGTTCGGAGGTTAGGAACAGTAAGGTTTCTGATACGTAATGTCAGAGTTAATAGACTGAACCAATTAGCAATGCCATAAGCAGCATATGATTCTTGATGTATTATTCCTCCCAAGAAGGTATTCTCTTGATTTAAAATTATCTTCATTTAAAATCTTAACCACTTTTACCAGGTGAAAATAGTATCCCAATGTCTCATTTGGATCTTTAAAAGTCTCCGGAAGAATGAACACACATCCCCCTGCCACATTTATTAGAACTGATAACTGCTATTGAATTAACTGCTTGTGTTTTCTATTTATTTTTTGTTGGCATTTTAGTGTATGTATAAATTTGTACACATACTCAGAAAATCCTTCTCATTCCAGAAAAAGGACAAAAAAATCACTTTATTATTTCAAGCTTCCTTACAGATTCATTTTAAGTACATATACTACGTGTAATTTCTGTCAATATATACTACCTGTAAAGTCTGTCAAAACACCAGACTGAAAAAGCTGGTCAGAAAAGTAACAGGAATACTACAAGGTTCTCGACCAGCAACCTAATGAAGATAAAACATTCGTTTTTCCTAGCTAACCCATAAGCTCAGAATTCACACCTGCTGTTAGTCTGGAGTTACTCTGGTTTATGAGGCGGTACCTATTTTGTTGACAGGACACTAAAGCTCTCTATGTATGTCATGCTGTATGTTCCTAGCTTTGAGGTCAGTCAGTGCTACTTAAAACGGAAAACCAAACCGCAGAACTGCACACCCAATTTAAGACCAATTCAGTTCAGGGGTCTGAGTTCAAACCAGCTTTTCATCGGCCATATTGTTTACCAGAGGACAGGCCAGGGATGAAATGACCTGAAAAGCCTGCGCTTAAAACATTCACTCTGGTATCTGCAGTGCCACCCAAATTACAAGGTGCTCTTACAGATTTCATGGCACGTCACCAGCAATCCACAAGCAACAAGGGTGACAAGCTATTAGTACTGCACCCTTTATTTCTTATTTTTAAAAGATTTTATTTATTTGAATGACAGAGTTAGAGAAAGAAAGAAAGAAAGAAAGAAAGAAAGAAAGAAAGAAAGAAAGAAAGAAAGAAAGAGAGAGAGAGGAAGAGAGAAAGAGAGAGAGAGAGAGAGAGAGAGAGATCTCCCATCTGCTGGGTCATACTACCTAAATGGCCTCAACAGCTGGAGCTGGGCTGATCCAAAGCCAGGAGCTTCTTCCAGGTCTCCCACTTGGGCGCAGGGGCCCAAGCACTTTGGTCATCCTCCTCTACTTCCCAGGCCACGAGTAGCAAGCTGGATCAGAGTGGAGAAGCTGGGACTCAAACTGGTACCCACGTGGATGCCAGTTTTGCAGGCGGTGGCTTTACCCACTACGCAACAACAACAGCCCCACTGTTGTACTCTTTAGGACAAGATATATAAATCATTTGGTCTGGCCCTGCCAAGGAAGCTGTTGGTGGGACCTGAAATTCAGTAAGTCTTTATCAGGCTAACTTTTAAGTTAGTAATTTTGTATGGCCCACAAATGATGTTATAACATATATCCAATGGCCCCTGGTGGAAAACGTTTCCCCAGTTGAAGCAGGCCACAGGTCCTCTTATTTTTAATTATTTTTTTTTTTTTATTTGGACAGGCAGAGTGGAAAGTGAGAGAGAGACAGAGAGAAAGGTCTTCTTTTGCCATTGGTTCACCCTCCAATGGCCGCTGCGGCCAGCGCACCGGGCTGATTTGAAGCCAGGAGCCAGGTGCTTCTCCTGGTCTCCCATGGGGTGCAGGGCCCAAGCACTTGGGCCATCCTCCACTGCACTCCCGGGCCACAGCAGAGAGCTGGCCTGGAAGAGGGGCAACCGGGACAGAATCCGGCACCCCGACGGGGACTAGAACCCGGTGTGCCGGCGCCACAAGGCGGAGGATTAGCCTAGTGAGCCACGGCGCCGACCCAAGTCCTCTTCAAGGGAGATTTTTAAGAGAAAACAAAATGCACCCAGCATGGTGATTCCACATACCTGTCCAAATGAAAGGCTGCCACCTCTGCGTTGTGCCTATCGTAACCGGCGTACGGTTCCCCCTCCACCACATGGTCTCGGCTGTACCTGCAAAGGGAGCGAGAAGCACGCACAGACGTGAGCTACGGCGGTGCAGAGGGGACGGCAGCAGGGGCAGGTTGTAGACTGCGGCAAGCCCGATGCTGTCCTACAGACGCCTTTTCTGGGAGCCCTCGGCACAGCTGCGGCTCTGCAGGAATCGCCGGTGGACGGCGTGAAGGTGAGGTGGAGATGGAGACCAGCACTTTCTAGGTGCCTCAGCAACGTCCCAGGAATAAAACCTGGGTGATGTGACTGTTACCCCTCTAAAGGGCTTTTAATGTAGCTTTTAAACCCAATTAGAAGGTAATTTCCTAGACGATAAGGATCACTTTTGTACTGCCAACAGTGTTAAGGTACAGCTGGTACTTAATAAACGCCTACTAAACTGTTTATTAAACTGAAGTGAAACAACGAAGGAAAACGCGCTATAAAAACTGCTTACCAGACGGCTGTGCTAAGGTTTAGAACGGAAGTTTAAGTTTCTTGGGAAAACAAGTCTTGATACGCCTCAGTTTTTGTAATGTGAAGGAAAGGGTAGTTTTAAAAAAAAAATTCCCATTCTAGTTTTATCCTAAGTTGATAATGAGGCAGTGGAAGGAAACCTAGACCAGCAGCGACCACTGGGTGTGGCTCTGCCATTACCTGACGGAGTCACCTGGAGAAAACCCCTCTCTTCTCCGGGTCTCAGATTCTTTTTCTATTTATTTATTTGAAAGGCAGAATTAAAGAGAGAGAGAGAGAGAGAGAGTGTTAAAGAGATCTTCCACCTGCTGGTTCACTCCCCAAATGGTGGAAATGGGCAGGCCAGGGTCAGGCCCAAGCCGGAGCCAGAAGCTTCATCTGGGTCTCCCACGCAGGTGGCAGCGGCTCAAGCATTTGGGCCATTCCCTGTTGCTTTCCCAGGCACATCAGCAGGGAGCTGCATCAGAAGTGGAGCAGCTGGGACTCAAACCAGTACTCATATGGACTGCCAGCAAGGGATGCTGGCATCGCAGGTGGCAGGTCACCTGCTGCACCACAATGCTGGCCCTAGGGCCTAAGATTCTGTCCTCAATATTAGCAAATGACTAGAAGGGACTTTTTAAGGTATCTTTGATTTTTTTTAAAGATTTATTTATTTATTTGAAAGGCAGAGTTACAGAGAGACAGGTTTTCCATCCCCTGGTTCACTCCCCAGATGGCCCCAATGGCTGGAACTGTGCTGATCTGAAACCAGGAGCCTCTTCTGGGTCTCCCATGTGGGTGCAGGGGCCCATGGACTTGGGCCATCTTCCACTGCTTTCCCAGGCCATAGCAGAGAGCTGGATTGGAAGTGGAGCAGCCAGGACTCAAATTGGTGCCCATATGGGATGCCGGCAATGCAGACAGCAGCTTTACCCACTTAGCCACAGCACTAGCCCTGGTCTTTTTATTTTTATTTTTTTAAAGATTCATTCATTTTACTTGAAAGTCAGAGTTACACAGAGAGAGGAGAGGCAGAGAGAGACAGAGACAGAGAGGTCTTCTATCTGCTGGTTCACTCCCCAGATGGCCGCAACGGCCAGAGCTGCATCGATCCGAAGCCAAGAGCCAGGAGCTTCCTCCAGGTCTCCCACGCGGGTGCAGGAGCCCAAGGACTTCAGCCATCTTCTACTGCTCTCCCAGGCCAAAGCAGAGAACTGGATCAGAAGAGGAGCAGCCAAGACTAGACTATGGGATGCCGGTGCTTCAGGCCAGGGTGTTAACCCGCTGCGCCACAGCGCCAGCCCCCGTCTTTTTTATCTTAAAAAATTTTGGTGATTTTATATCAAACATATGGCATAAACAAAGGATAATAAAAACTGTTATGTTTCTACTAACCATTTAAAAAGACATAATTTAGGGGCCGGTGCCGTGGCTCACTTGGTTAATCCTCTGCCTGCGGCGCTGGCATCCCATATGGGCGCCTGATTCTGTCCCGGTTTCTCCTCTTCCAGTCCAGCTCTCTGCTGTGGCCTGGGAGGGCAGTGGAGGATGGCCCAAGTGCTTGGGCCCTGCACCCACGTCAGAGAGCAGGAAGAAGCACCTGACTCCTGGCTTTGGATCAGTGTAGCTCCGGCCATGGCAGCCATTTGGGGGGTGAACCAACAGAAGAAAGACCTTTCTCTCTGTCTCTCTCTCTAACTCTGTCAAATAAATTAAGAAAAAAAAAAAAGACATAATTTTGGGGTGGGCATTGTGGCACAGTGGGTTAAGCTGCCTCTTGGGCTGCCTACCTCCCACACCGGATTGCCTGGGATGGAGTCCCACCTCCACTTCCCATCTAACTTCCTGATAATACACCCGGGAGGCGGCAGATGATGGCTCAAATACTTGGGTTCCTGCCGCCCATGTGGGAGACCTGGATGGAAGTCCTGGCTCCTGATTTGGCCTCTCCCAGCCCTGGCCATTGGGAAGTAAACCAGCAGATTTACTCTCTGTCTCTCTCTGAGTCACTCTACCTTTCAAATATATATATATTTTTAAGATACAACTTAAGTCTGCTAATTGTGAAGAGGAAAAAACAAAACCAAACCTCAGTCTACCCATGACGTCCACTGCTCAGCTGCATTTCCTGAATGAAAGGAGACCTACTGGGCTGTACAAGGGAACTAAGGAACAGAGATAAACCAAGACAGAAGCAAGAGGAGCAGCTCCGCTGAGGACATGTAGGGTGAAGTGAAAACAATACATAAGAAGGGGTCTTTGGGACTGGCGCTGTGGTGCAGTGGGTTAAAGCCCTGGCCTGCAGTGCCAGCATCCCATATGGGCACCAGTTCTAGTCCCGGCTGCTCCACTTCTGATCCAGCTCTCTGCTATGGCCTGGGAAAGCAGTATAAAATGGCTCAAGTCCTTGGGCTCCTGCACCCGCATGGGAGACCTGGAGGAAGCTCCTGGCTCCTGGCCTCGGATCGGCGCAGCTCTGTCCATTGTGGCCATCTGGGGAGTGAACCAGCAGATGGAAGACCTCTCTCTCTGTCTCTACCTCTCTCTGTAACTCTGTATTTCAAATAAATAAAATAAATCTTTAAAGACCTTAGGATACAAAGGAAAATCATGTGCAGAAAACGTATCTTCAAAGCAAAACAATATGGCATTTGTGGTAGGAGACAGCCATCATGATCATCTGGTTGGGCACCAGTTCCTTCTTAGCACGGCCAATATCTTCAGATGCAGTCTAATTCCTAGCGCAAAGCCTAGGCTTTCTAGGCTTATACTAGCTACCTCTAAATTAAGGTCGATTTTTAAATACTGCAGCAAAAACGAACAGAACTCCTCTGCTGCAGGGGTGGGCTCTCTGTGCAGCGGGAGGGCAGTCCTTGACTGTTCCGGGCTCAGGACTTCGGTGAAACCACGGAGCACAGCGTGAGGATGAGGTGCTGAACGCTACCTTCAGGGCGGCAGTAGAGATTTCCAGTACAGCTAAGGGCTGCTCAGAGTGAAACGTAGAACCCTACACGAACTCTGGACGTGGGCTAGAGCGGGAGGGAGGGAAGGAAAGGAAAGCGGTGAGAATCACCATCAGTGAACGGCACTGCAGTCAGGTCTGAACCCTCAGCTCACGCTCCGGCTACGTGGAAATACGGAAAGCCAGGATTCCGGATCCCCTCCTTCTCGCCTGTAACACAAGCAGCCGGCTCAACGGTGTTCATGGGCCCTTTGAGCACATCCTAAGATCATTCACGCACTTCTGCCTACTCCTAGGACCCTGACTCCTTGCTCCCTTTCCATCATAACTCCAGTTTTCACCTGTGAAAATCAATTTACTTCCAGGACAGACTTGGCTACATTGGAAAAAAATCATTTTTAAAAGGTAAGATAAACTGTGTTAAAAGTATAGGGGCCAGCGCCATGGCGCAGTAGGTTAATCTTCCACCTGCAGTGCCGGCATCCCATACGGGTGCCGGTTCTAGTCCCGGATGCTTCTCTTCCTATCCAGCTCTCTGCTATGGCCTGAGAAACCAGTAGAAGATGGTCCAAGTGCTTGGGCCCCTGCACCCACGTGGGAGACCTGAAGGAAGCACCTAGCTCCAGGCTTTGGATCGGTGCAGTTCTGGCCATTGTGGCCATTTGGGGAGTGAACCAACAGAAGGAAGACCTCTCACTGTCTGTCATTCTACCTCGCAAATAAATAAAATCTTAAATAAAATAAAAGCGTCACTGCACCCCTACATATGTCACTCCCTATACATACCGTCTACCTCTGAGAGCAGGACGTGGACAGCCAGGCTACAGAAGCGCTGGAACCCCAAGTGGCTATCACAGGAAGGCACCATATTAGCTGGGCAGATTCTCCCCTTGGCAGACTGATTCGTGCTAAGGCACCCACGGAGCAGCAAAACTCACACAGTAACTGCCAATAAGTCTGCCCCAACCTCTGGTGAAGGACGTCGGAGTCTGACCACGGACATTAATCTGCACTTACACCAGGACTAAACAGCCTCTGAGGCCCTGGGGGTCAGAACAGCATAGTGCTGGGTGTTACGGACTGGAGTCAATTTCCGACATCCAGCTTCCCCAGCCTGGGACGGTGCCTGATACAACACAGCACAGGTCAGTGTGTGCGTGTGCTAAGAGTGCCCACTGACTGCAGGGGTCTGTCCGCCCTGCTGGGGTGAGGAGAATACCCTGGAGCTGAGAGTGGGCAGAGGTAGGGCCGAGGTATTCAGGAGTTGTGGGGTGGGGCCAGTTTGACACAAAGAGCAAAGGCAGGATAAAGCTGGGTAAAGAGATGAGGCCCACCTGTGAGGGGCCTGACCATCAGGCCCTGGGGTGAAGAGTGGGAAGTTCCTAGATGTTTTGAAGCTGGGGGGCACAGTGGAAAGAATGGAGTGGTTTTCAGGACGGTCTAGCAAGGGCAGGAAACGGAGAGGCTGCAGTGGTACTAAGAGATCTGAGAGGAAGCAAGTAGTGACTAAGGTTTCGGCACCATCTGTCGCTACTTCCCCTACGCATCAGTCGGGCTTCTCCTTCCTCCTCCTGTACCTTTTCCAAACACCCAACGCCTGCCCACAGGGCACCCTGTCTACCACCGCACCTCTCAGGAATGGCTGCCATGTGACACTGCAGCTGTCCCATCTCACCCTCAGCTCCCGACCTACAAGCGGGAAGTGTGGCAAGGATCCGAGCTCCTCTGGCAATACACAGAACTCATCCTCTTCCGATACAAACTTCATTTTGGTTTGCCTTAGTTCCATCACATCGCTTACACTACCAATCTCTGAGGCTATAAACCAAGAGGTCAAGGACCATACTTCAAAACCGAATCAGTGGTTTTTGACAATGAGTGCTCTACGCCATTACCCTTATAGGAAAGCAAGTAAACAAAGTATAGAAGCACACGTGTGGCAGAAGCTGAGCTGCTTCTATCCCTGACAGATGTGGGCTCAACCCCAGGTCTGCTGACTACTGCAATGTGCCTTGTGGAGTTAGCTACTCTCTCTAGGCTTCAGTTGCATATTCCAGAAACAAGAACTGAAACCGCCCAGGAAGGTTAAAGACATTAACAGGTACAAAAGTATTTCAGCTAATGCCTGATAAAGCTAATGATGACAAACGTGCAGTGCACAGAAGTCAGATTCCAAGGCCTCACAGCCATGTGTTTTCATGCTACCAGCCCATCAGACCATCCTGGTCCCCTGCAGGCTTGAATTTCACACTTTCCGCACGTTCCGTACATCATCCCTCCAGGTTCCAGACCCAACACTGTTCTCTTCCATTTCTGGGATCCCAACGCATTTACTCTTCGGCTGTCTTTTATCCACTGGTAATTGGGCAACAGAGAGAGCTGAATTTACCTAAGTTCCTTCTACTCTAGTGGAAATTCAAAGATACAATATTCTCAAACTTTCCACTGAGGAATGAAAAATACACTCAGCACACTCAAAATTTCAGACATTACGAACTTTGAGAATAATCGCTGACAACTAACTTACAGCAAAAGAATACAAATAACTGCTATGTTAACCTGTTTCAAAATCACATATTCATAGAAAATTTGCTTTTTAGTTAACCATATTGTAGAAATGCCACACATATTATCCCTAAAGAAGTGCAAAGGGATCACTCACAACGTGGATGCCATTTAGTTCCTCCGGGAACCAAGGCGGCCCTGTTCTCGACTTGAGCAGCAGCAATGAAGGCAGAGGTGGCACGGCGGTTACACCGAGGCCTGAGCACCAACAGTCCACACCGGGGCGCTGGTTCATCTTCCAACCCAGCTTCCTGCTACTGGCCCCGGCAAGGCAGCGGATGATGATCCAAGCACTCGGGCCCCTGCCACTCATGTGGGAGACCAGGATGGAGCTCCTGGCTTTGGTCTGGACCAGCCCCCAACTGTTGTGGCCTTGTGTGGGAGTGAACCACTGGATGGAAGATCTCTACCACTCCGCCTTTCAAATAAACAAATCTTCAAAAGAAAGAAACAAAGAGACACTACCACGTTCCTGTTAGAATGACCACCATCCAAACACTGACATCAAATCCTGGTGAGGAAGTGGAGCAACAGGAACTCCCTCTCAGAGGGGCTGGGGTGTAAAAGGACACAGCCACTCTGCAAGAGGCTTCGGCCGGTTCTTACAGAACTACACGTGCTGTTACCACACGACTGGCCCATCGGGCTTCTTTGGTATTTACTCAAACACCAAAGCTGAAACCATGTCCACACACAACCTGCACATGGATGTCTAATACAGCTTTATTCGCAACTGCCAAAATGTGGGAGCAACCCGGAGATCCTTCAGTACATGAAGCGATGACCTGTGGCCATCTAGACAATGGGCTGATATTCAGTGACAGGGAAAAAAAGGAGCTATCAAGTCACAAAAGGCACACAGAGACCTTAAGGGCATATTGAGTGACAGAAGCCTTCGTAAAAGGCTACAAACCCTGATTCCAACTATGTGACAACTGGGAAAAGGCAAAGCTATGGAGACAGTAAACAGATCGGTGGCTGCCAGTGGTTCAGGACAGGAAGGAAGGATGAAAAGTTGGAACTCAGAGGATTTTTAGAAACTATGCTGTATTATACCACAATGATGGATACACGTTATTATACACTTGCCAAAACCCTAATTTAAACTGTGAATTTTAGTTAACAATCGTCATTGTGTCAATATAGGCTTACCACGCTAACAGAAGATGTTAAACAATAGGGGAGGCTAGGGGGAGGTAGGAAAACTCTCTGTACTTTCCTCTCAACTTTTCGGGAACCTAAAACTGCTCCCAAAAATATTAATCAAAAACAAAACAAAACCAAGAAACAAAAACCCAGGCGAGAGAATCAGTGCTTCGGCAGAGAGAGGGCCTCTGTCGTCCACTCCAGCTTCAGGGGACATCTCCTCCAGAGCACCGCACGTGCAGTAGTTACCCGGGAACTGTACATGTGTGGTGACGGGGTGCTTACGTCCTAACCAGTCCATTTTGTGTCTCTGCCACATGGCACACGGTAGAGGTCTGATAAAGCAGGAGTCAGGACAGCTCTGCCAAATAGCTCAGTGTCATAGGGAAAGAAGACGGGTCCTATAAACCCCTCTTACTGAGAGAAGCACAGGACGTCGGGAGCCAGCAGGGAGCTCGGCAGACTTTCCTGGTCTACCTCATTTTATGGGAGAGAAAACCAAGAGCAGTGGGTAGACACTCTGCTACAAACCCCCACCCAGAAGCAGGCAGAGCTTCTGCGATGAAGACTTACCGCTTAGGTTTGAACACGACCTTCTGGCCTCCTTCAAGGATCAGTAAGGCCTTCAGCTGTGTCCCTTTATAACCCACATCAGCCTTAATGATTTTCTTGGTGGCCATGGCGTGCATGATTGCCCCAAGCTCTGGTGTCTCTTCCGGGTACACTTCCCGGGGAACCACCCACTGGGCTGCAATCTCCCAGGGGGACTGCAAGGTGTGGTCCAGCTTGGGTGTCAGCTCCACCCGCAAGCCAGCCATCATTCGGTGAAAAGCCCTCTGGTCCTCCCGGTTGGCGGCTGACGTGTCTAAGTTGTCAATCAGGAAGACTTTGGTGAAGATAAAGATGACGAGGAGAATTGCTAACAGCACGACGCGCTGCTTCAGCTTCATGTTGACCTCGTTTCCCTCTCGCTGACCCCTCTCTCGCCCGCTAGCAAGGAGAGTAGGTGCTGCCGGCTAGCAAGGAGATTCCATGATGGCAATCACACCGGTCCGTCGTTTCTTCATGGAAGCCCCTCCCACAGTTCCTGCAAACCCAAGTGGAAAGCAAAATTTGATCAGAGATTCTGTCCAACCACCCTTGACTCTTACAAAGCTCCAATATATGACTTACCCTTTTAAGCCTTGCTAAATTTTAAGCTTGAGAAGATTCAATAATTTAAAACTAACTACTCCGTAGACGGACCCAGCAAGTAAGCATCAGGGACACCAAAAATCTTCCAGCAAATATTCCTATTTTAATTGGGATGCAGAGCAATCTCGGAGCCATTTGGCTGGCTACTCATACACAGTAACCAAAACAACAAGCAAAAGCATATTAAGAGAGAAAGATTAAGATAGGCAGGCATATTGACTAGCTTTCCATTTTACCTTTTAAAACCCACAAAGGACTTCTGAATATCTAAAACCGCTAGTACTTTGTAATTTTCCAGTAATTACCTTCTCCAAATATGTTTTATGACACCTTGTAAGACAGAAGTCCTAAAAATGCCAAAAAGGATGTAGAGGAGAATAACTCCGTCTCCGATCCAAACACCCAGAAACCTTGGACACGTCTATAAACTACTCACGTACTGAAACGCAACACCCTGACGCACATCTCTACTTGACCAGTCCTCTACTAATTATTTTTTAAAATTAAAATCCCTACAAAACACTGATAACCAAATCCGGGTAAATTAGGTAAATGAAAAACATGCCCCTATATCACGTGGTTATGAGTAGAACGTGACCAGAAGACGAATGAAAGCTGGCCCTACAGCACCACTGCTAGTCTGCAACGGTAAGGTGAACAAGGGCATTACGCCACAGGCCCAAGGCAGCGCTGCTTCCAGGGTGGAAGTGACCACGCTCTGTTAATTCTAGAACTAGAAGATTCCAAACGCAAGATTTTTGCAAGGGTGTCAAAAACATACAATTCGGTCTCATTTGCATGCTGAGGACTTGGCTCCCCACTGCACAGGGCCACTTAAAAACACGTTCACGCTTGCTTTGCTATATGTACAGCATCAAGGTAAGACGAAGATGACAAGAAGATAACAGGGTGCTGCTTCACTCTCCAATTCGTTTAACAACTCAAACCATTAATCGGAGACATAAAACCAACACAGAAGATCGGGCAAACAATTCAGGCTGAGACACTCCCACCCAAACTTGAGACTGCCCCCTTGCTGACAGCTGCAAACATACTAGAATCCAGATTCAGAGCGAAGATGTGTTCCAAGGGCAACAGCTGGCCACAGCGAAGTGCATTCTCGGTGAGTCTACTCTTTTCCTAGCCATTTTCATGAAGGAAGCAGAAGCTGAGAGTTAAACTCAAATTCTAATTATCCCAGCCACCTGCTTTGCTTCATCATCACCTCCCAGGGAGGACAGAACACTGTGAGCGGAAACAAAGACAATTCAAGTGCATTTAATACATAATTGTGATGGTATCAAATTTGGTGTGGAACCCAGTAAAACAGTTCCCTGTGAATACTGATAACGGCACTGTTGCAAGCGTCAGTTCAGAAATTTTTGCTAGTCCTAAGCCACAGAATTTTTTCAATTATTCGTCGAACAGTACGCATCTCAGACTGTGGGGCTCAAGGCAGCGGGGAAGTGCAGCCGTAGCAGCACTCACTTCCGGTGCACTACAGTTCTGGTTCAAAGGGGTCGGCTTACCAGGCGTCCTTCAGGACTGAAGTCTGGTTAACCCACTAACTCCTAATGACGTTCACTTCCATTAGAATGAAGATAATCCTCTCTCAGGCTATATAAACACATCCTATGCAAACATTTAGCACGAAGGGTGAAGGGTGAAGCTGTGGGTCTGCTTAATCACTACTGCAATAGGAAGTGGTAGCGGCTCCCAAACTCAAACGGTACAGTCCTCAACCCTAGCTTGTGTGCTTCTAAGTTTTGAAATGTCATCACCTTTGGAAGAACATATTCCTCAATCCAGAGCTGCAAACAATCCACTTAGCTGGGCTAAAAGTTGATATTAAAGGAATTCAGGGGCTCAGTCGTTATCTTATTTCACTATTTACCTCTCCCAGCAAGGGCAGGTTGACAACGAGGCGGAAGGAGTTCTGTTTGTGATGAGTCACCACATCCTGGTAAGCGCCAGGCAGACCAGGATCTGGCACTGGTCTTTTACAACTGCCTTTCACCACCACAGCCGTGAGCTGACTTCCACCGCTCATGCCCTCCTATCAGGACAGAGCCCAAACTGACCGCTTGGGCCTCCCGGTTCTCCTACCGTCTGGAGGGTGCAGCCACAATCATATTCTGGCCACTCTGGCCACTCAGCCACCACCTCTGGCCACACATTCTTGAGCACAGCACCGCAGCACTGCCCTAAGCAGCTGCAACAGAGGCGGCAGTCCCAGCTTCACCTAAAACGCACCAGCTGAACGCGCTCCGTCCTCCCGAGGGGCAGCTGCCTCCGCCTTTGTCACTACTCCCACTCAGCTCCCTCAAGCTTCCTCTTTGTCTTACCCTTTCTTCTGGTCTCCTTCTGATGCAAGCCTGGTCCTTTCAAGGCCAGCTTCAAGGCCATTCTGGTCTCTCCTCACCCTCCACAGTGACTTCTCCTTCCTTCTGACCGGTGCGTAACTGCATTCTGCCTCGGACGGAACCTCCTGTACGCAGTTCTTCACTCCGCTCTCGGAACGAGGCTCCAGAGAACGATGCCCTTTGTCCCCTCACCTGCAGAACAGGCAAGGACATTCCAGACTCCACGCTCTACTGCTGCCCTCCTCACTTTAGACAAGCAGCCCACTGTATACTCTGAAAACCAATGCAAGACCGCTGTTCACGAAAACCTCACCAGCTCTGCCAGAGGAGTGCGTCTGCTCTGTTTCACTGCCTCCTATAAATGCTTCAAACACGCAGCTCTGTCCAGTTACATGACGGTCATTTATTTTAATGTTTCTGTTACGTGCAACGGCCCATCTCAAAGAACAAATAGATTCAAAGTAGTATCATAACTCAACAAATGTGACATACACACAAGGCAGTGCATTTGTTAACAGTCTCCATGCTAACAGCTGGCATAAACTCTCAGACTGGAGTTCTGGAAAGGAGACCTTTTTAAGGAATTTTCCCACCAAAGCCTGGTTTCACCTCCGCTGCACCAGCCACGTGGGGCCTGCTAGAGAGGCTCATTTACTATTGTTCTTCACACAACAGTATGTGGATGCGCCACCACTCCGCTTGTTTGGTAAGTGTTTCTTAAGGACAAATTTATGACAATAAGGTTGTCTTGGGAGAAGAGAGAGACATGGCACACAAATGAGTGAGGGCCTGGTAGGAAGTTCTCTGTTCTAGAATCTGGCAGATGTTGGAGAACATATGTAGAAAAGCATGCCGGTGCAGAGGTCTCTAAGTCATGTCAACACTCACTATCTTCCTTCCTGTGGGGTCTGACGAGCCACCAGTGAGGTTCTGAGCCCCGTGAGCACAATGTCCTGATTAAGTTGACACCTTAACCAAGTACTGCCACTTCTGAAGTTACAGAGAAGAAATCTCAAACTTTGCTCATAGCTATAGAAAGTTTCAAAGTAAGCAAAAATTTTGTGTCTTTTAATGGTTAAAACAGGTTGTTTGTTTGTTTGTTTTAAAGATGTTATTCATTTGAAAGGCTGCAATGACTGGGGCTGGGCCTGGCCAAAGCCAGGAGCTTCATCTGGGTCTTCCACGTGTGTACAAGGGCCCAAGGACTTGGGCCATCTTCCACTGTTCTCCCAGCATTAGCAGGGAGATGGATCAGAAGTGGGGCAGTCAGATTTCAAACCAGCACCCACGTGGGATGACAGCATTACAGGTGGTGGCTTAACCTGTTATGCCACAACGCCAGTCCCAAAACAGATTCTTAAGACGTAAGAACGTGAAATGCCCTGTGGGTGTGAAGCTTCAGTACAAACATTTCATGCAGAGGACCAGCGACAGGAGATTTGCTGCAAAGGCGGTGGGACTTACTAAATGACTGGTGAACAGGGTATATCACAGACATTTCTGTGGAGGAATAGGCATTTAGCCTCGTGTTTAAGATACCCACACTTATATCAGAGTCCTTGGGATTAGATTCGCAGCTCCAGCTTCTGACTCCAGCTTCCTGATAATGCAGACCCCGGGAGGCAGGGCTCATGGAAGTGGGTCCCTGTCACCCACATGGGAGACATGGACTGCGTGCCTGGCTCCTGGCTTCGGTCCTAGTCACCATGGCTATTTGGGCAATGAACCAATGGATGGGACTTCTCTGTGTCGGTCACTCTGTCCCTCAAAAAAAAAAAAAAAAGTTTATAGAAAAATGGAATTAAAACACAAGCTAGGGGCTGGCATATGGGTAAAGACAATGTCTGCAATGCTGGCATCCCATATGAGCCCCAGTTCAAATCCGGTTGCTCCACTTCTGATCCAGTTCTCTGCTAATAGTCTGGGAAAAGCAGCAGCAGATGACCCAAGCCTGGAGACCCCTATACCCATGTGGGTGACCCAGATAAAGCTCCTGGCTCCTGGCTTCAGTCTGGCCTCGCCCTGGTTGTTGTGGCCATATGGGGAGTGAACCAGTGAATGGAAGCTCTCTCTCTTTCTCTTTTTTCCCTCTTTCTCTATAACTCTGACTTTCAAAGTAAATAAATCTTAAAAGAAAAAAAAAAAAAAGAGAGAGCGAGCGAGCACTAGGATTATTTTGGTGCAAATGTTTTTGAAATCCAAGCACAGTTTTTCACAATATGCATGCATTTCAAGATTTTTTGCACCAAAAAAAGCTCATCTTTTAATTCCATTTTTCCATCAGTGTTTTGAAGTACCCTCGTATAATCATATTTGTGTACTCAACCTTTCCTGACAAGAAACCATAAGGACCCTTGTCATAAACTTCTTCCTTGGTAATTGCTGGTTTCAGTAAAACTCTGAAGATCTGGCACATGTAAGAAGAGGTGGGACCCGAATTTAATTAATTTTTGTTGTTGTTGACTGTCTACAAAGGCAGATACCAACAATTCCTTCCATCAAGAGCGAGAGTCTAGAATTCCTCCCAGAG